TTGTGGTGGGATATTTAGAATATACCAGTATTTAGTACTGCATGCTAAAGAGTATTCTTATATTAAAACGCACCCCTTCAGGAATTCTTCGTAATTTGATAGCTCACATTTATGTTTTCAAAACACATTCAAAGATGATGTTCAAGTCTTGCCCTTTGATGCTCACAGATGCATCTTATTCTGCTATTGTGAGTTTGTTTTCGGATACATACAGAGTTAAATGATAATGAAAAAGAGTCCAGGCATATGAAAAAGCTGTGTTAGCGACTGAATGAATGTCACTCTGAATCTGAAATTATATACTAGAAGATTAAGAAAACATTCTGGTAAAAGCAAGGCTAAAATGAGAAACCATGCTTTTGTTTTTGTCTTTTGCTTTGTTACGGTTGAGAATTCTTGTCGCGGTTGGAGAATTCAAGAAATCTGATGCAACAACAGCAGCATCTTTGCATAAACCATTCCAACCTGTTCATTACGCCAACAAATTAAAACCAGCAAGTCATATAAAATTACTATACCAGCTGCTTTTCTTTCTCATAATATACGCTTAAATGAATAAATAAATAAAATCCTGTAATGGTAGTTTAAAGAGGGGCAAAAAAAAAAAAAACATGATAAACTTTATTGTGATGTACTTATATCTGTGTTTTGACTGGTGGTTGTGTGCTTTAAGTAGGAATAATGCCTGGTTTTTGAATTATAGAAAACTAAACCCTACCAGTCAAGTAACTTCAAAAGGAAATCGCTTGCAAAGGGTTTGCTTGCCCTCATCTTGTAAACAAGGAATCGAATAAATTATAAATCTAATTGATCTGATTATTCATTCTCTGTAACTGATGAAATATTAATCCACTTGAGTAAAATCTAATAAGCCAATGAAAGCAAATGTTCATGGAAAGTTCCTGATGCGAAACCTAAACATTTTTTTCTGTCAAACGAATGACTACTGTGAAAAGAGAAGAGAGCTTACAATTCTTGAAGGCATGTACTTTTAGGTTCCAATTCTTGGGATTTCTGGAGATCCAATGAAAAGGCTGATGGCAAATTAGTAGTATCACTATTTGGTTGGTCTTGTTGCAGAAGGGGAAGCTTCTCCTGCTCAAGAGAAGTTTGGCTGGAAGGTGCCGGCGAGAAGGGCGGCGAAGGAGTTGATGATGCCGAGAAGGAGTACCTCTGGTTGCCTGGTGCAAAACTAACTGGAAGTGGTGAAGGAGGAGTTGGAGGTGATGATGTTGGAGAGTCATAATTACGGTTCATAGTATTAATCAACAACATTGATCACAAACTCTCTTTCAATCTCACTTTCTTCCTTCCCATACAAAAATAATAAGCCATTAACATGTTCTGTTTCAAACTTCTTCTCTCCCTTATGCCAAAATTTCCCCGTTCTTTTTTTTTTTTTTTTTTAAAAAAAGCTTGAGCTTTTGGTAAAACCTAACAGTCTTACCTCCCCTTCCTCCATCCCTCAGCTACTCTTCATTCCTTTCTTGTCGCTCTGACTACTTCAGGCTTTCCTTCAGTTTCTTCGAACCTTTAATTCTCATCAACAAGGTACGAATTTCTTTGTTGATTCTACAGTTATTACAGATTCAACAGTGTCTTTGAAGCATTAAAATTGATCTGCTAATAACTGGGCAGAGAAAGAATAGGGTGGTTTTTCAGTTCATGAGAGGAATATAGATGGCTTGGTTCTGGTTCTTCTTTATTGGTTTTAAACTAAGCTGATTAAAAGCTGGGTTTGTATCATAAAAAGAAACGTGTTCAGATTCAAATTTCATTATCATCATGAACATATCGTTACAGTAATTTGTAAATATGCGTCGTGAAATCTATCTATCTTAGCCTTCAAAGGTTCCTAAGTTTTAGATTTTCAGCTCATAATTTCAGAGGATATTGCAGAAGCTGCATGAAGTTGAAGTTGCAGGAAGCTACGCCATGAATTGATTGTGTAAGAAGGTTTCTCCCTGTCGGGGTTTGAATGGTCAGTGTCATGTGTGGTCTGAGGTCAGTGAATCCAAAAAGTGAGACTTTGGTGCTGTTTCGTTTTGGCATTGAATCGTTGACTCGTTGGTAGCCATATTGACTTTATCACTTGTTCGCTTTCTTACAGGACGATGAACCAACGGAAACATAGGAGCAAGTCTGCGTCAGCACTTTCCCCGGGGGAGCTGAGTATTTTCCAAATATGGCCATTCAAAAAGCAAATAACTAATTATATACATTTAAGAATATTATATATATTATATATATATAGGGAAAACAATTTCTTGAGATACCAATAGTTTTTTTTTAATTTTTAATTTAATACTTATGTGTTTTTTCTCCTATATGGATCATTATTTTATTCTTTGAGAAAGCAATCTTTTAATAGGAGTCTTTTTATATGAAGATTTGACATGATATATTGTTCAATATTGAGTTCAACCATATGGCTTTGGTGTGAGGAGAAAAAACCTAACGTGTAAAAGTTAAACATATAGATCTGTAACAAATAACTAACTTAACTAATATACTTAATATTTTCTAAATTAGTTATTTAATCATTATACTAAGAACAGAATATAGTAACTGTTTTTACTTATTTGTACAAAAGTTGAATGTTACGCTGCCAATTTTGGCCCTCAAAGCTCCATTATTTCTGCCTTCTTTTTCTTTTGGTCACAAACTCTCTCCATCTCTTACAAAACAATAACAATACCCCAAAATCGTAATTGTAAAATTCTTGGAGCAGAAAGGTTTGGATACGATATATTACACACAACACACACACACGCGTGTTTCTTGGATAAAAATCATTTGGCATTCAGAAACAATGCTAAGTAATTCATACTTCTCTGTGAAAGTTCTCACATTACGTTGGTCTCTAAATAATAAAATGAAGATGTTATATGGTGAAACGGTTGAATTTTAAATATTCTTGATCAACGACTAACAAGCTGTTAATTGAGGTGGTAGTAGATTTTTCTTATAAAGAAGAGAACATAAATTTGAATTTTAAAAAAAACACATTTGTTAGGAGGGATATTCTTTGACTACTTCCGTCCAAAAAAAATTAGTTTTAAATATAATGTGATTTGGAGATATTCCGGTTACACCAAAAAAAATTCTTGACCAGCGGCTATATCCATTGATAAGAGTTCTTTGTTCATGGGTAAATATTACTTGTTATATATATCATTTTTGTTGTTTTATACTCTCCGGTCTTTAATATAGGACCCAATTGTTGAGTTGATTTTGGTTCTAAATATAAGACTTATTTCTCATATTTATCAATTTTCTCTAAATTGCCCTTATAGATACTCTATCAACTATAGTCAAGTAGAAGAGGGAGAGAGGAAATTAAGAAAGATGATTATGGTGTTTTAGAAAAAATATGTTACATTTCTTATAGTTAACTAATTTATCTAACTTCCTTAATCTAGTCAAATTAATTAAATAGGTATTATATTAAGGACGGGAGGAGTATTATGTATGGTTCTTTGGATTTTCCTTTTTCCCCCTCCTAATAATCATTAACAAAGTTTTAGGCGATGATGCCCCCGGCAGACTACTTTTTCTCTTAGGTGGGGCACAGCATTCTTTTTTCTTTTTTTTTTAATCGAAACGCTTTCTTGTAGTTTCCTCTTGGGCCCTACCACTTAGTTAGGCCACCTATGAATTCGCGGGTTATAGCTAATGTGTTGGGCCGTAGATTTTAATCAGCATTGGTGTTGTTAAAACTAGCATCTGTTACCCGTGCTATGCACGGGGAGCATTCCTCACGAGAATCGGATCTACTTCTTCATACTAATTAAACATAACATATGGTACATGATATGTACAGCATTCAATATAAGAGATGTAAAATTTTAAGTAAATTTCACTTAAGACATCTAAATTTCTACATCTATGTCACGTGGATTGTTTGCATGCTATGCATTATTCATTTAATTTCAACAAATACAAATCACGAACATAACACACATTGAACATGAAATTCATCAAACACATGCTTCACAATCTACACATTCCTAAACACTTCTTTGTAAACCACATTTGTAGTTGTTTTCACTTGACCTTCAACTTCATCACTAACCAAAATCTTCAACCCATCCATACTTCTCACCCTAGATAATGCAACATACAATTGACCATGTGTGAAAACAGGCTTCCTTAGGTATAACCCTACATGTCGCAGTGATTGCCCTTGACTTTTATTGATTGTCATAGCAAAAGAGAGGGTTATGGGGAATTGCCTTCGTTGCATGCGGAATGGCCATCTATTTTCTGAAGGATTCATATCCATCCTGTGAATTAGGACCTTCTGATTAGGCATGCACCCATTTAAAGTAATAGCCTCTATAACTGATATACACAGCTTAGATATACGAAGACGTGTTCCATTGCATAATCCTGAAGCTTGATCAATATTACGAAGCAACATTATTGGAGCACCAACTTTTAATATTAACTTGTGAGGAGGCATGCCTGAGCTACTTATAGTGTTAAGAAATTCTGTCGTGTATAAATTGTCAAAGCTATCACTGTTATCATTTGTCTTACACACAGAATCATAACTAAGATACTCATATGACTCCCCAGGCAGAGACTTGCACATATGATCATTAATAATATTAACGATCTCAATCGTTGGGGCTAAAATCGCTCTGTCATTGAAATATTCCCTTGAATCTAAGTTATCCATGATTCTTGGATAAGTAGACTCAACAATGGCATGTATAGGATCATTACCATGTTGTATCAATAGTTCAGATGGGATTTCAATTTCAGTAGAACCATCATCTGAAACACCTATTTTTCCATCACCAACGTTCAACAACCATTGTGAGAACCATACTAATTTTTCTTTTGTGTTTGATGTTGATGATGAAGACAACCGCATGTTCTTTGTTAACTTGAATATGGTGCAATGTTGCCATAATGGAGAAGAATTGATGCATGCATCAACAATATTTGCTCTTGATCCTTTTGGTATAACAGGTAGTATTTGACGAAAATCACCTCCCATAATGATGCATTTACCTCCAAATGGAGATGTGCAATGCATAATATCCTGCAATGTTCTGTCAACGGCTTCAACACAATACCGCTGAACCATTGGAGCCTCATCCCATATGATTAGTTTTGTCTTTTGAAGTAGATGAGCGAGTGGAGAGTTTTGCTTGATCCCACAAATAGAGAACTCATTAACTTGAATAGGGATAACAAATCTTGAATGTGCGGTCCTGCCTGATGGTAATAGGGCAGCTGCAATTCCACTAGATGCAACTGTTAATACAATATCACCTCTACCACGCAATGATGAAGTCAAAGCATTCCACAAGTATGTCTTCCCAGTACCACCACAACCATATACAAAAAAGAAAGCACCATTAACTTGGTCTAATGAACTCATAACCTTATCATATATCTCTTTTTGATCAGTATTAAGTGACTTAGCCAGTTAACTTGCTTCTACTTGCAAAGCTTGCTTGTCATAACTCAACTCTTGCATAATAAGATGATTGGTTACATCAATTGGTTCAACCTCTAGAAGTACAGGCATTAAAGGGAAGTCTTCAAGGTTCTTACCATTTTGGCGAAGAAAAGTCTCGATCTCTTTAAGAGCAGCTTGTTCCTTCTCTATATCACTTATGTTAATGCCTGCATGGAGATAATTGATATTAATAATTAACTTTATGTAAACATAAGAATACTAAATTAATTGTACACAAATTTAAACAAACTAATTTCCTAATTTCCTAATTCAACAAATAGAAATAACACTTACATGCATAAATTGGATCACTTCGAGGAATGTAAAACATGTCCTCAGAAATAAGTTTGGCTGTCTGAGTCCAGACATAATGTGGTCGTTGAAGACTACAGCATAGAAGCATATTGGCAAATAATTTTCGGAGCTGTGACCCAGTTGCCCAAACAGAAGCTTCTTTAATAGCAGATATATACTCACTGTCATCATCTAGTAGACCACATGCAAAACATGCATCCCTAAATGTGTCATACGTTACTCCATTCACTGTCTTTATATCTTCAAAGCAAGTAGGACCTCTTACTTTGGTCAATAAAACTCTGAGATAATATAATTCACCAGATGAAGGTGACACGTGCGTCATCCTACCAACCGCATATCCTTTTTTCCTCTTCTTCCAAGCCCTTTTGTTCTTTTGGTAAACATAGTGATTAGGGAATTCAATGTACGTCAATGTCCTAGCAAAAACATCAGACTTATTCATAAGCATCCATGATATGAACTGTGATTCAGATACTCTTGGCTTGTCTAGCAACTCAGTGACATTGTCTTCATTTGAGTAAATAACAGTTTGTTGATTTGGTAGATGAAAACTTAGCCTCTCAACAGAAGGATTTCTATGGTGAATACTAAATCCAAATATACGCCATGAAGCTTCACATGCAGAAATATATCTACAATTATAGTACTGTCTAATTTCATCACGTACGCTTTCATTATTATCACCTTCATTATCAAATATTGCAGCAACAACTCTGTCATTCCCTTTACTGACGTACTTGAAGAGATATTTTATAGCAGTTGACTAATTGCATTTCTCTACATTTATATGTGCATTGAACATTTGAACCAATGTTGGATTATATGGTACGACATACCTATTGTCCAATCTAACTCCCTTAACCTCAATAGCTCGCCCATTATCTCTTCGTCTATAGGTAGGATAACCTTCGTCATCGACCATTGTGTGTCCAATAAACTTCTTAGGGAAGTATTTTGAACATTTTTTATCTTTCATACATGGCGACTTTGGGTTGCTTGTCCCACATGGTCCATGAAGCATGTACTTTTTAACTAATTCATGTAGGATAGGGTCAGAATCATAGTCTGGTATTTCTGCACAAATAACACGATCAATTGCATTCACATCTTTCATCTTATCTTCTGGAGAAAGAAATAACAGAATATGTGCATGTGGCAGACCCCTCTTTTGAAATTCAATTGTGTATATCTCTGCACATAGTTTATATGATATCAAAAAAAGTTGATAATATTCTAAAACAATAACAAGAAGAGTTATCATCACCTATATATTATACCTGCACGAACTTCTCCGAAAATCTTTTGCTCCCTCAAAATCTTCATTAGCGTTTGAAGCTTCATCTTGAAAACTCTACACAATATGTCTGGCCTATCAGATGGCTTTAAAGAATTCTTTGAACAAAATCTTTGGATCTCAGGCCAAGCTGGATTACAGGTAAAGGTTAGGAATATGTCAGGATATCCAATGGATCTACATATCGCCATTGCATCTTGGTAGTTTTTGATCATGTATCTTGCACCACCTGTGAATGATGAAGGAAGAATTATCCTCTTGCCAATGGAAGCAGCATTTCTTTCTCCATTCAAAACTGCATCAGTTAACCCTTGATACAAATCAACACGAAGTTCTTTTTGGTGAGTTCTAACCCATAATAATCGTTGTGATTCGATCATAGTGTACCCATCAACAATAAACTGTTGGAGTAATCGAGATGCATGTAATAGGGCAGACACTTCATTATGCCTTGACATCAATCTGTAAGCAAAAAACTCATGCATGCTAAGCCGTGTTCTAACTTTTGTAGAGCTCAATGTATCTTCTCTATGTTCAATGTCATCTCTATAACCATCTTCACCAAAAGGGAAAAGAATCGGGTATTGTAGGGCTAAATATGAGGCATGTAGTTCATTAATTCTTTGTGGGGTGCCTGAATGCTCATGCACAATAATATCCCTGAATGTGAAAGACATATCAATATCTCCAACAATTAATGCTGCTACTTCTGAAGCAGTAGGCAAATTATATGTTCTACCATCACATTGTCTAGAACTAAGAAGGCACAATTTGAGTGGTGTAGAATTGGGTTGACTAAGCATTGATGAGGCACGACGATATTGTTGCACGAATGGGTTAACATGGTCTAACTCATTCTTGATCTGAAGAACAATTTCATGATTGATTGTGGACTCCTTCGAGTGTTTGCTGTAAACATGGACATTTAAATCTCCTTAGTAAATGGTTTCACCATCATATAAAAAATTAACATGAAATGTGATTATGATGTTGAGAACTGACCTAACAGCTGCTATTCGATTGCTTACTTCATTCTCTGTGTCATATATATAGAGCTGTGAATAAACAGGCCGTGAACCCTCTGATGGCAATAAGCTCCCAATACTATGATAATTGACACCTGACATAACAAATGAGTACGGACCAGCTCCATTGTTCTTAGAGTGGTCCACTTTACCACCCATAGAGGTAAATGAGAACATATTATTATATTGTCTTATATTTTGGTGGAAGTTCTTTGAATTAGCTAGGTCCCTTTGAAAGAATAGAGATCCCAATACTGGCGGTGGGGGTTTGATAAGCGGAAGGACTACTTTGCCTTTTAAACAACACAAAGAGAATGTGTCAACATGCGTTTGACACCTATCTTTTTTTACTCTTTCATTAAACCAAAAGTGAGCTCCACAAAACTTGCAAGCATATATGGGGTCCCCTTCGTCTAGATAACCTATGAGATGAACATCAATTTCAATGATTTTAGGCTTACAAAAATGATAGATTGCAATCATATTACGAAAGCAAGGACCCAATTTTACCTTCCATCCCAACTGCATCACTGGAATCAATAATAGCATTAACATTTACAGTGAAATCTGGCCCGATTTCGTTTGATGTGTTATAGACTGAAAAAGAAAATGAATGGTATAAGTCCAAGTTTATATAGCTTATGATAATCTTAAGCAAGTTGCACACCTTCTTCAACATCTAACTCTGATGCATGGTGCCCATCAACTTCACTTTCCGAAGGTTCAAAGTTGAACTCAATATTCCTATAATCAATTACTTGCGGTTGCCCTTCATGGTAATATAGAATTAGATAATAACAAACCCATGTTTCAATTGCTGACATATACAAAGTTACAAATAAGAGGCGCACATTACAATTAACTAAATTCCACCGTAATATATACTATATGCTTTTTAATATATTCCTATAATCAGTTATTTTAGTTTGCAATTTATGCGACATATACATTGTCCGTGGTTGGAATATCAGTTACTTAAATTTTTTGTGTGTCTTTTAATAATAAAATTACCACAACCACATTAAGACAATAATTTTAGTTGATGTGGATTCACGTCGTTTAGTTTAGTTGGTAGACTTAATTGGTAGATATAATGATCTTTAATTAGGTTACAAATATTAAAAAAAAAGTAAGATATATCAATCTCCTCTCTATTTAATCTAAATTATAAAGACTTTTCTTTTATTTTTAAAACCCATATAAACCTTTCTTAAAATCAAAATATATTTTGCACAAATCTCCATTTTAGTTTTAAGATTAAACTTCCATCCACCCAATCGTTAATTAACCGTTAAATCATAACTTTGACTCATTATTTTGACCAAAATGCCCCCTCCTTAACATAAATATTATTTAACATTTATCATTTAGTTACATATAACATATTTTAATCCAATATTAAAAATTAAAATGACTACCATATTACAAATTTTTGTCATACTATGTAATTGATCACGATTATGTTGGCAAAAAAATGAATACCGTATTACAAATTTAAATAATTTTATGAATATATTTTTTTAGTAAATTTAAGTTGGTAATCTCATTCATTTTTTAAAACTTGCTTATGTAATCTTTCAAATATATATCTTGGTTGAAAATATTTTGCATTCGTACATATGAATTGCTAATTAAATTCTAAAATTACAATTAAAAAGTAATATAATATTGAGAGTAATAATTTAAAATTTTTAAATATATTTTCGTAAAATGTATCATTATTAAGAAAAATGACTCAAATTTACATATTTTAATATTTTTTTCATACTATTAAATTGATTATGATTATGTTGTCAAAAAAATGACTACCATATTACAGATCTAACTAATTTTATAAATATAAAATTTTACTTTTAATAAATTTAAATTGTTAATCTCATTCATTTTTTAAAACTTGCTTATGATGTAAGCTTTCAAATATATATCTCGGTTGAAAATATTTTGAATTCGAATAGATGTATTGTTAATTAAATTCTAAAATCACAATTACACAGTAATATAATTTTGAGGGTTACAATTTAAAGTTTTTAAATATATTTTCATAAAATATATCATTATTAAAAACCCACATCCTAAAAAAGTACAAAATATTTTAGTTCAAGAATTTTTTTATTAGTCTCAATATTAGGAGTAAATAGTAAACAAATTCTATCCTAAAAAGTACAAGATATTTTATTATTGGTTTAGCTCAATCATGATTTAGAAAACAGACAATGATAAATAGTAATACCACAAAGAAAAAGAATAGACAACACAAAACGCATAATACTCAAATTTACTAAATGCACTCATTCTTTTTTTTTAATACGGAAGAAAGTACATCTACTTAAATGTATGATTTTCTTCTACTCCCACTTAGACCTATCATAAAACATTCTTTATGATGAATGAGTCGTTCAAATTATAAATTAATTATTGAAATATTAATTATTCATTTCATTAACAAATCAAATAAATGGTGTAAGTTTTATATCATGATAAATTCTTTTACAACTAACCTGAATCAAATACGGTCGGGGTAGATTGAAAGTCAGTAACTTGATGAACACCAACAGCTTCATCTGCAAAATTGGAGGGAAAAAATTAATTGACTAATATTAATAGAAAAATTAACATGCTGACATTTACGGTAATACAAAATCACATGATGTGTGGATCTCAAATGGTTGAAACCTGAAGGAATGACCATATGCATAGATTCACTGGTATATATATCTTGGCACTCCACATTATCAGAAACTTGGGTCAGATTTGCAGATTCAGCTACAGCTTTCAAGCAAGTCCGCATTAATGTTATAATCATGTCATCACCAAATGCAAATAATATTATTTAGACGACAATATTAAAATAATATTCCAATGACATGATATAAACTTATATCAGTTCTATCGTCTTCCCCACCTGTGTCCCCACGGTTGTTTATCCTTTTTCTTGTCCTCTTTTGTTTCAAGTTCATACTCTCTAAACCACGATTGCGTGCACTTTTTCTGGTAAATGGTTTCTTTGCTTGGTCTTGAAATACCGACATTAAGATTTCAGTAACTTTTTTCCAATAAGCACAACAACATAAGACATATAATGTACTTGATCTTAGATGTCATTACCTCCTTGAAATTGATATTCTAAGTTTGAGGCCAAGTTAGTTAGATCTCCCAACACACTTCTTCTAGCACCTTTATGTTTGATCGTAGAATGTGGTTCAATAATGATTTCAGACGGTTGAGTGTGCTTGTAACTCACTTTTCTGCCCAATGAGTATGATCCTGGTTGAAAATATATAGAGTAAAATATTCAATAAATGCACAAGATTGATCATATTCCCACGCAAGCATGATGACGAGAAAACTTCATCTATGCTTATATTTACCAAATGGAGAACCACCATTAAATGAATGGGCGGAATATAATGATTGCTCTGATAGTAAAATGTTGGTTTGAACCTCCTTCCCTACACTGTTTGAAGACATCTTGGGATGCTGTTCATTGCCCATTTGAGAACGTTGAGTATCCAAGTAACTCGCTTCTCCACTTGTAGATCTAATCAGACCAATAGTTGATCTTCCTTCTAAAATAAAGAAATTTGCAGCAGAGTTATGAAAATGTTGATGAGAAACATAACTCCATGACATGCATATTAGTACTTGCTAAATAAATACTCACCATCAGAAGAAGCATTGCCATAAGGTGACTGGTCGGACGGTAAGTTATTCATTTGCATAGAGTTCCATCCATTGTTTGAATACATATTGCTCTGTCTTATGTCACAGGATGAACTTTTTCTACTGGGTAGATGGGTGGGAAGAGAAATATATGGAGTTCCAGTTGCTATTGGACTCTGCACATTTGACAGCTAATTTACAGCCAAAAAACTGTAGCTGCTATATGTTATCTTATTAAGTAAGTGATGTAAATTCAGATTGATAGGCACAATTCTGACTTCCTAAACGAACTTCGAGGTACCAAGTACACAATGAGTCAAGGCTCTTTTTGTGCTCATAACAGGTTATGTAAGTGTAAATAATAAAAATTATCTATACAAAAAAAAAAATTCACTCAAATGCGATTTACCCATAAATCTGAATTAAATATGAACTTTGTTTTTCTCAGTAATAGGCTGAAATTAATGAAACACGCACAGAGGAAAAAAACTTGGAGCCCGATTTATTGAATCCATTAGTCATTAAGAAACCCATCTGATTGTACATGCATGATGACCATAGGGATATAAATATCAACTTTGCAACATATACGTATTTGAGGAGCCCGCATTCAATTAATTGCAGATACCAAAGAAATGATTTATCAGTTTAACTGATACTGTTACTTCTATTACTAATTCTAATTCTGGATTAACATATTAAATATAATGTTTCAGATGCATTAAAATATACATTTTGACTTTGAGAAGAACATGGAATGGGCTTACTAAGTTACGAGAGCTTCTCAATTAACATTGTAAACATTGTGTTTTTCAACTAACATTGTCTCATATCAAATAGATTCTTTGTGATAATCAATTTCAAATGGACAAGTTTAATCACTTTATTGCAATATTAGTTATTCCATGCCAACCTGTGTTTAAATAATCAGAGTGCATTTTTTCATACATTGTGTTAGCTTTATTATATTAACAAATTCAATGCTGATATATGGTCATCATGTATTATGCATAAAACCTTATATTTATTTCCATCATTTAATAATTAGTAATGCCTCAGTGAGTATGATATGTATGACAATTAGTTTAAGAAATTGGCAACAATGACTTCATATGAAAATTAAAAGCGACTGCATTACTAAAACATAAAACAGATTACAAACACCAACTAATCCTAGAACAGAAAACTTCAAATTAAAAACATAAGTTCAACATGAAAGCAATAGCTAGTCCTAGAACAGAAATACAGGAAATGCAACAGATTTGCAGACAACCATATCTAACTACTTCTCCTTCTTAATAACTTTGTTCACTCTTTCCTCAGCAATCTTCATAGGTAGATCTTGTGAAGTACTCTCTCCATTCTTAACAGCAGACTTCTTGCTTGAATACCTCCTCTTCCCTTTAACAGGTGTGTGTATCATGGGATTGGAAATATCACACAACCTTATGTCATTGTCAACTGCCATAGCCGGAGGAATTGGTACATGGATAATGGGAGCAACAGAGTCAGCGTTGTCTTGACTGTCAACAAGTTGCACAGTTGGCTGGGAAACCTATTGATAGATAGGAAGTTTAAGTCAAGGTCCTTTTGAAATTCATTTCGCAAATATGTTCCAAAATAATTTTATTATAGTACTGAACCCAACCTGAGTCATATCTTCTGTAGGTTGAGATTGGGTCTGCAAGATCCAAAACAATAACATGTTAATCAAATTGGTATATAATAATGAAAAAAATCATCAAATGACACATTGATTGATTCTATCTGCTAAAGGAAAACCTGAGAAGTAACTTGTTCGAATTGGTCCATGAGGTCTTCACAATATGTGAATTGGCCAACACTAATGCTAGAAGATGGATGATTTTTATTATATTCATTGAGCTTCAATTTGATGAGTAATTTCTTTCCCACAGGCTTGTCTAAGTCATCAGGGAATTCGAAGGCCTTCTTCTTCTGTTCAAATAAGAAATACATGATTAGATCAATTGGACAAGACTATTACCATGGAATAATTGTCATTAGACTAACCTGCTGTAGAATCCTCTTCATTTCAGTTGCTGTATTCTCAACCAGTTGGACTGCTTGCTTATCCCAAAAAATCACAGATGCAGTTCCAGTCTGGTCCTTTACCAAATAGTGCACCCTTAATCTGTAAAACCAATATTTCTAGGTAATGAAGAATAATTAATAGTTGAAGAGTATTTTAATAGGAATATAACTCTCATTACTTGGGTTCCATGAAGTCAACTTTTTTCTTGCAGGTGCCACAAATTTGTGTACTATTCTCAATCCTGGGTTTGGTGCCACACTTGGAGCAACCATCATACACCCATCCATACCTTGTTTCCAACTTCTGAATTTGACAGCTTATAACAAAGCTATCACCCTGAGAACAATAGTTTTGATAAGTGTATGATTTAAAAATAAGTGCAACTAAAACAAATAACTAAAGGACATGATCCCTGACAACAGCTTGCTGAGGAATGTTGGATATGGTGATCTTGGGCTGGCTATAAAGAGAGTTCATGTTAGTCGTCTGACTTGATTGGGATGGGAGCTGTTGGGTATAAGAGTACATCAAGGGAGAAGGACCATCCTTCAAACTGCATATTGTGAGAGTATATAACCATTATCCACTAAGCATAATATAATACATATCATTTTTCAATGACATCATTCCAAATAACCCATCCTCTTATTAGTGATTAAATGATGTGATTCAAACTAATCAATTAATAAATACCTTTCAGTTAGTTCTCTCACTTCCTTAATAGCAAGATTGAAGTGTACCCTAGTAGCACTGAAAGAGCTACATACAGTGGGAGCTCCTGCAATTAAATGAATATCTATCTTAGTGGACATATTACATGGCAGCAAAAAATATCATTATGGAGTTATGTTATGATATAATGATACAGATACATAGTTATGATATTAACCATCCTCTGAGAATCCAATCCTAGCCAAATTGAACACAGCTACCACCGGGCTTTCAGTATTTTGTAAGTAAGCCATGTAGGCATCTGAAGCACATTGATCATAAAGCACACACTCTACATCATTCTCCCTGCATAAAACTCATAAATAAATATAATGAAATGTATATTTGACTTGCATCATTACTATCCAAGATAATTATTTAATACATAAGAACTTACTCTGAATCAGTCAATACCATCCTAAGTTTAGTCTTTGTCTCATCATCCCTATGAAACTCTTCCAGCGTTCCCATAGACTTAACAATAGCAATGACATCTGAAATATATTAAATCAGTTTTGTATGATAGATTTAAATGATTTTATAGCTATATACGCTTTATATGATTTAACTACACATGCACTACCAATGAGAAATAGGACATGATGAGCAGGGGTAGCTTTCAATATCTCAGGAATTGGAAAAAATGAGTAGGAGTATGGCTTAATTGCGGCTTCATGGTCCGTGATATATGTTTGAGGAGTGATAGTTATTTTAAATGGATGACTTGTTGCTCTATATTGGTTCAGATTGTCAGAGACAACAAAGTTAGCCATAAAATATGTTCTTCCTTCAATGATTGAAGTTCTAAATCTGTCATGCATATTCCTGTTCATGACACTTGCTTGGATCTTGGTACCCTGTGAGGAAAACAACATAATATGAGTTTTACCAAGGTAGACGTAAATCATTCATGAAGGCAGCATCATTTGGTAACTTACCTCCTCATCAAACAGTAGCATGGAGATACATAACATGTTTGAGTTCGCCCTATCTGTGTTAGTAGCATTTTTCTGATACACATTCCACTTCCTGAACACCCTCACAAGGATGCTCCAACGGTCAGTTGAATCATTCAGGTCCTTGATCAGCACATGGCGAGCCATTAGTGATTAGACACCAATTAGAGCAATATCTGCAACAAGAAGGGAAAATAAGGATCTCAAGGTCTAACTTTGAATTAAAAACTGATAATTAATTAACATATCAAGCTTAATTCACAAAAACACTTGAACTAATAGTAATTGAACTACATGATAAAATACTACTACCAGATGTATTATGACTAAATATACCTTAGATAAATATTGTCAAGAGTAGGCAAAGGATGTAGTAGGAGGTAATCTTCGTATGTCTTATATAACGATGTCATGAGTGGTGTAGGCGGGAAAAAATTTGAACCATTTAAAACCATTTAGCGTCACATGAATGGTAATGAGCTGTGTGAAGGATGAGATACCACATACAGAATAAAGATAGAAAGAGCTTCATGAGCTATAGGCATGAATCAGTCAGACGATGGTAGGTTAGTATGCTTGTATCCTTTGGAAATTTTAATAGTCCATTGTGTAATCTATATTGATGAGTAGCAGACAAAATATGTTCAGTAGGGAGCATAATGATTACACCAATTGCAGGCTTTAAAGGAAGACCATAATAATCACACCAATTACAGGCTTCCCCAGGTGGAAATCTGATACATTGATATGAAAGTACATTTTAGATAAAAGGTGGAATATCCTAGTATGTGTGACCATTTTTTGCACATGCATAAAACCTACTTCGTATTCCATTTTTCAAATATGCAGTGATTACATTAATAAGGGTGGAAATTCAAGGAACCCGTGCTTCAATTGATGACATATACAAAGTTACAAATAAGAAGCACACATTACAATTAGCTAAATTCCACCATAATATATACTATATGCTTTTTAATATATTCCTATAATCAGTTATTTCAGTTTGCTATTTATGCGACATATACATTGTCCGTGGTTGTTTCATTTTATGCGATATAATAGTTTAGTTGGTAGACTTAATTGGTAGCCATAATGATCCTTAATTAGGTTACGAATATTAAAAAAATGTAAAATATATCAATCTCCTCTCTATTTAATATAAATTATAAAGACTTTTCTTTTATTTTTAAAACCCATATAAATATTCCTTAAAATCAAAATATATTTTGAGCATTATAATTTAAAGTTTTTAAATATATTTTCGTAAAATGTATCATTATTAAAAAAAATGACTCAAATTTACATATTTTAATTTTTTTTCATACTATTAACCAAAAAAATGACTCAAATGTTCAACAGTTAAATTTGATGTAGTCTTCTTACAGATGGGGACAAACTACTAATATATGTGTATCTTATGAGACTGACGTGACAATGATCTCACTACCTATTGACCTTGAAGCTTCCTGTCATCAGAATTTATATGATATCAGAGCTAACCAAATTCAATTTGTTCTTTATAAGCCTTATGTACTTTGTAAATTTCGTACCAGACTAATTATCATTAGCCTAGATGAAATAATTTAAAATTACCAACTGACTTGTCTTATCCTCAAACTATTGTCAAAAAGGATTACATGAACTATTATTCTGGAGAGCTATTATGGTATTCTCATTACATAGTAGTTCCTTAAATAACTATGTTCATTCATAATATCTAACATGCCATTACATGAATAATTCCCGCTGAACCTATAATTATAAGCCAAATAAAAATAATGGGCGCATGAGAAATAGCAACACATCACTTCTAAAATTTCAGTAGACAAACCATCAATTTATACATGTGCTTTGTGTCCACATGAATAAATGTTTCATCTGAAACATCTATGCAAATTCCATGTACTTTGTCTATCTACTTTGACTCTACATACATAAATGGTTTATGTCCTGCCTTGATAAACTATTATGACTTTTACTGATATGTGCAGTCTTTTAGAATGACTTGAACATCTGTGCAAATCCTTTCCTGCTTCTCATGCAGAATCACAATATAATAAGGAGGTTATCATGCAGAATGGGAAAGCATATAAAATTGACAGATCGTTAAATATAATTGTGTCCATCTAATGAGAGTATTTAAACCTTCACAAATGCTGATGGTGACAGGTAAAAGAAAATTCTGCATGTGATATTTGCTCCTTCTAATGATGATGGTGACAGCCACACTTAAACCTGCATAAAGGCGTCATACTTGACATGACACAGCTTATCCTCTTGTACCTAGGATTGAGGATATAGGTTACCATATATAATATAAATAAAGCACATAGAAATATGATTTGAGGATGAGAAAAATTGATGCATTACGTTATCTATAATGTTGAGTACAACAACAAACTCGAGAGTAAAAGGCCATTAGAAACTATAAGTTTGAGGAGTTTATTTAGAATCATGTTGAGAAACTACTTATAGAGTTGCTGTGAACAGGGCAAGAGTGATGAATATTCCTACTGGAATAGATAATATAGAATGCAAAATCAATAGCAATATAATAAAACCACGCAATATTGATTATTAAGCCTTCTAATCCCTCACAATGCACAATAAGAACACATGATTGACCATCATAATCAACTATGAAAACTCTTATCAGTGAGTCACAATCCAATTTAAATGTATTTATGTATAACATGATTATTACATTTCCTTGTCTGACTGAAAATAACATGATGCATTTATTGCTGACAGATATACTTTATGAAAGGTTTTATATCTTCTTTACAGTGAGATATTACCTGCAACCTAGAATATGAACTTAGACAAATATTACACAGATAGCAGGAACGAATTTCAATGATCACCAACTCAGAAACCATTATAATGCAAATGATAATTAATGATATAAAAGGTCAAAGCATGATCTCGTCCTTTCAGTAACAGAAACTTTATTGATGAGAAAATTGATTAATCAAACCTAGTTAGTGATATGGTAGAAAAATCACTTTTTGCATGATGCACACATCTCAACTTTAATAGACTGAATACCTATGGTCTACCTGAGAAGTTATGACACGCTGTGAGCCATTTGAGTTATTATGAAATGTACAGGTTTCATATAATGTGATTTTTACGTTCTTCAAAGTCAATTTCCATAATTGAAGCTCCCTAATTAGTATAAAGAATACAAAATAAATTTATTTATATAGATGAATATTAACTTATATTGATGTGATGTGTGAGTAACAAAGTTGCATCTCGTTTGCATGCCATTTTCTAGACGGTCATTTCAGGTTGCCCCATTAAGATCTCTTACAACGATGCAACAAGGGTAATCTTTGATCCACCGTACCCTGAGGTTCAGAGGCTGAAGGAGCTTATGGTGATGCAGTGATGGATAACTTGATATCATGATGTTATGTATGCCGGGTGGAATTAATATGACTTGGTCTTTGCACCTAGCCAAAAGAAGAAAGTTATGTTTTTGTTTGGCATAGACATATGGTTTAAAGTATAATCATATTGAGGCTTCAGTTTAGTTTTTGTTTACAAATGACTAACCAAGGGAACTTCCTCATACAAGTCTCAAGCATGATCACCATTTCCTTCTCATAGAAACCTTTGAACTTCATTATATAGACGTTTGACATATACTTAATAAATCCACAAACATCTGCATAATAACCAATTAATGCATGAAGAAGGAAAAAAAACAAACCACAAAGGGCCATATATATGGAGTACCGTCTTCTTACCAACAAAACCTTCATGCTCAATCATTCCCCAGGTAATATCTGACGCTGCCTTGAGATTCAAAGGGCATCTTGGCAATGGTTTAGATGAATCAAACATGATAGATGTATCCAGCAACTCCAGATGATATAGCTTATGAACTCCCTCACCTCCAAGACACACACGCATGTCCATGATGTCATAAACACCATCTTCCACAAGTCTCCAGCTAAAAAGTTCCTTGCTTTGTTCAGTCTTCAAAGTTGCCAGCATCCGAGTTCCCTAACAGACATATAACATGAACAACATGAGACACAACACCATAAAACACATGTCAATGTCACCATGTGAAATACCTTCTCATCAAAAATAACAAAGTCGATAGACATAATCTGCTTCATACAGCGATCATCAGGACCAACCAGTTCAATGGCATCCCTAGTCAACAGGCGATCAACCTGGACGTGAACCCACACGTTTGCTACCCCAAGCTTCAGTTGAGACAACTATGACTTGGGTATAACTTGTGTCATTCGCTCAGCAGAGAAATAAGGAGCTGGTGGAATAAAGAAATAGAAATAAAACAGGAACGTGCAATATGATCAAAAAGTTAATAAAAACATGCATGGCTATCATAACTCACTTTTTTCCATTGGTAACGCACACCTGCCTGATTCCAACTAACGACCCTTTGAGACTATGAAATCCTAGTAACTGGTGTGTGTATTTATAAGCAAGACAATGAGCCATACTTGGTTAGATTAGCTGGCACTGTACACGATGCAGCTAGCACGCAGCCATAGGAAGCAATATTTTATTAGTAAATTACTGTTCCGGCTTGTGAACAGTAAATTGTATCTGTAGCCGATCATAAGCCACCTAAGAAGTGGCTCCGCGGAACAGTATTTTAAGTATCATTGATTGGACCAGCCATAGTACCCAAAACAAAAACATAAAAAGGGCCCAGCCACCAACGGGGGTCGAATCTAATAAAAAAACGATAGTTTTGCACAATGTGATGACTTGAAGAGAGGTATATATATTTAGTACTCAACAATACCTCTTATAGGATTACTTCTAATAGAATGATACACAAACCTAAAAAAAAAAGGACTAAAGTTCAAATTCCTATTAGAAAATATACTCACATTTAATGTTTAATAGTATTTCAAACATGATTGTGACAAATTATGCATGATTACAATTGTGATTCATATACATTTTGTATAGTTTTGTGTGAAAAGTTGATATTTGGTGGGAGTTTGTAGGAATATGCTCAATGTGTGGGGAAAAATTAAAAAAAAAGAAGATTTGGATGCTCAATTTTACCCTTAAATATTTATTTTCTCTCGTTTGCCATAATTTTTCTATTCACATTTTTTCACACATTCTTTTTTCCTAGAGCTATCTGG